GGCAAATGTATACGATAGTTTTGAATGTTACGAAATATTATTCCCAGGAGCTTGAGGTCGTCCTCATGACACGATCGATTCACCGCTATCTCGGTCGTCTCGCACTTTTTTTTTTTTGGTCTGGTTTCCATACTGTTGCCACGTGTAATATTTCTTTATTACGTAATAATATTTTTAACATTTATTTGAGCTATAAAACTCACGGTTTTTGTGCTATGCTATTATCTTCGTAGTTTATCTTAGTCCTATTAAACTTTGAACTTATTATAAGCTCCTTCTAGATTGGTATAGCCGATAAAGTTATACATGGATAACTCATTTTATCTTATGATTTTAGATTCTGAGCATTTTAGAATTATAATATTCTGGACGCTTAAGTGGAGGCTAGACCAATTTTAAATTTCAGTCCAGGTTCTTTTGGCGATCATGTGCGAGTCACAAATAAGTAATAATTTATTCATTCGTCTATCTATAATGGATCTATATCAGTGTTTCTCACCAATTTTACTGTTGCGACCCCCTAAATGAATATTTAATTTTTTAGCGACCCTTAAGTATACATTTTATGCACGGTAACCCAATATTTTACAATTTTGGTGACCATAGATAATTAATTGACAACCTCCAAAGAGATCACGCCCCCCCCCCCAGCCGACACCTAAGAACACTGATCTATACCACATGCTTATAAACCCCACGTTTTTCCATCGATTTCTATGAAATAAAAACGATAAATTCGGTCAATATTTCAATAAATCCACTGTGGTATAAATTCTATTTTCTCAATATTTACTGGTAGATCTTCACATACTAATAGAATATGATATTCACCTAGATATTTGCTCGAACTATGTATTATTATATTGATGACTGATGAAAATATGCACATGTTATCTATATACCTTCGTTTAAGGTTTTCAGAGGCACAGTAGCTAATTTTCAACATTTTTCTAGGAGTCCTGAAAAATCATATATATTTAAAAGAAATCTCTATTAATAGATGCCTCTTTTTTGTATGACTTTTTATTGAAACTATATATTATTATATTGGTTTTAACAGACATATTTTATATTTGACTTTTCTAACGTGGTAAAATGTACAAAACAATTTGGCGAATTAGAAATTACTTATAGACATTTTATTTTTGATAGTTTTTTACATAGCTTTTATTTGGTATATACAATGTAAGTATAATTATTTGACTAAATAGAAATGCTTGACAATTTAATACTAGATTAGGGATCCTAGAATAATTTATTATAAATTCGGGAAATTTTAAATTTTAAAATGTACATATATTGCAACAAACTATGTGGTAGAAGGGGTGATGGTAAAGAAGTAGCTCTCAAAACTAGTCTGTAATTCAATACCAAAAGTTTAAGAAAAATAATATTGAACTCAAACTGACATAATAATAAGTCAATATAATTTAAAAATGTAACGTGTCTACACTTCTACAATGATATTTACTATCTAATCTCATGATAACAAGCTAATTTGAATTATATAATTTAAGAAATAAGGAAAATTAAAGGATACACGGAATATGAGATTCGAAACACGGAACAAAAGTGTTGTTTAGAACATTTGGTCGGGATATCGGGACGTTTATACTGTACAAACCCATAAAATACGGGACGTATAGGATCCCTATACTAAGTTCATTGTCATATACTTAAATTAATATTCATCATATTAAATTGTGCTTAGTGGTCATCAACGAAAAAAAAAGTTAATTGTAATGTAGTAATTTTGTTTGCAATGGTTTATCGTTGTTTAATCGTATAAATTAAACAAATTTATGTATCTACCTTCCCAAATTCCCACCTACAATAGTAGCGCACCCATCAATAGCAGCATCTTTTTTTTTTTTTATCTTGAACTCAAATAAAAAATTCGTTGACGTATGTATCATCGCTAAACAATATCAATTGTTTACCCCGTTATATCCGTCGTTTTAAAAAATATATATAAAAAAAAAAATCGAATTTGATTTTATTGTACACCAACGACGACTGCGCATTCGGATTCCATTGTACTCTCGATTTTTTAACAAGGTCGTTTTTTTATATATATTTTTTATGTCCCTCGCTTTCTCTCAATCGCATTATATATCTCTTCTATTTTTTTTTCCTAAGAAGACTACACTGCACATTTCCGGCTGAATAAAATCGAACTTTTCGACTTTTCGCTTCCCCCTCTCACTTGGCCATAGTTTGTTTACCCACGTACAGGAAGATTATTTTACGTACATATATATATAAATACGTATTTATATTTGTGACTTTATCGTATAACCACCATCGAGCCGTTTCCTGCAGTGTCGTCACACACACGATAGATGTTCACCCTCGCCCCTCTCCCCAGTCCAAACCCTATGATGAAATTGCATTCAAGTCCTTCGTTTTTTATTATGTTCAATACCATATATCATATGCATCGTCATCCGCGACACCAACGCCGAATAATATTTTTTGTAATTTATTTTAATTTTTTCTTCCTGTATAATATTTCTCAAGCCATGTCGTCCTAAATGTATACGATATTTGTTTTATGTCCCCCACATGTGTGCCACAAACTTGACAAAAATACTTCACTTTTCGTCAACCCCTCCACACTCGTCCAAGCAGCTTGGACACATTATTATTGATTGTCTGCACAGTAGAATCGAGTATAACCGATATAGTTTTTGGAGGACTCGGATAACAAATGAAAACGACTATGAGTTGTGATTTTTATGCATTAAAGAAAAAATTTAAAAAATAGTTAAAACTTAAACAAATTCAGAAAAAATACTACACTTGACAATTGGAGCAAGATTTCAGGTAAAAAAGCTATTTAAAGATTATTTAAATAAAATGTTTTTAAATAAACACAATTGTATAAAGTTCTGTATATATTTGATCACTGAACATGATAGAATTTCGTAAAAAATCCGAGTAGTCCTGATTGGCTCTACCTGGAATCAAGACTTTCCGAGAAGCGTAACCTTAACAGGTTTCATTTAGCAGGAAAATAACTACCCCTTGTATGGCGTAACTATTAATTGATTATTTTGCATCATCACAAGTGATGATGACCGTATCGCCACTCTAATGATATACAGCTATGCATTTTGCAACTGGAGCTTGTGGAAAATTGTCATTGGTTCTTTAATGTGCTGAATTTCGCACGTATTAGAGACTTCTGCAGTCTTGTAAAAGTTATACTTTGCATTTTGAGCGAATACTACATGCATGAAAATGATGAATGAAGATGATGTATGAATTTTTGAACACAAAATAAAATCCTGCATAGTTTTACAAATTGAATAGTAAATAATTAATGTCAAGTTTAATATTAAATACAATTAGTACTATTTTTACATATCGGCTTTGATACAGTATTAAATCATTCTAGTATACCAAATTTAGTTATTATAAAGACTATGTTATAACTAAAAAATAAACCGTTTAATTTGATAGCCTTAAAACGTGTTTAATACGTTAAGCTCAATGGGTAACTCTGTGCTTGTTGATAATGACACCTGTATATATTTCAGTTGTCGGTGCCGAGAATGGTCCGGTTGCATAATGCAATGGATTGGCGTCCTTATAACCGCACACATTTTTTTATTATTTAGTAGATATTTTGAAAGGGTCGACCGTTTAAAACCGTACACTTTTGATTGATTTCATTAAAATTCGATGGTACTACGAACAATATCGCATACATTTATCTAAAATCAGATTATCGTTTAAAACCACACTCCAGTTAATTATTAAAATATTCTAAGTTTATATGATCGATTCATAAATAATGAAATAACTTTAATAGAATGTTTAAAAACTCTTGGATTCAAATGTATTCCAATCTAAATATTAGCAAATTGTATCTTATTTTTTAATATCATTTGAATTACGACGATTTATTTAATAACAATAAATATTGTACCACATTGTATACCACTCCGAAAATTGTTTAATGAAACTTTGAACTTGGACTTTTTGTTTATTGAAATTTGCCCAGACTGTTTTAATTTATCACTTATAAGTAGCAATATTTTAATTAATATGGGTACCTAAATAATAATAAAATCTTAAGTATTAAACAATAAAGTTAAATTAGGTATATAAAAATAAACAATTAATAACTAACTTTATAATAATATTTTGAATTTTGGAACATATTTATCCCACACTATCAAATATAAACAATGCGGTGACGAACCAGTGGCTGTAGGCTAACAATAGACAAAGTATGTGCGGTATTAAACGATGTGAAATGTGCAGTATTAATAAAAAACAAGTATGCGTAATTGAACGACGGCCTTTTCCTGAAAGTATACGATTATGATGACCGCCTACACTGGATGTCTGGAAGTCTGGATGCATCAATATTACCGCCCCTCCTTTTACCCATTAAATTTAACGCACACCACCACCACCGTGCAACACCACTACATAATTGGATCAACCCATACACATACGCGCACTAATTTTCAGTTAAATTTAATTTATGTTTTCGTAAGTTATATGAACTAATTCAAATATTACTTCGGTCGTTTTTAGTTTTTTGTTAGTTCAACAGACATTCGTTTTGTCCGCCGTCGTTCCGACAACTGTTGTCAGGGCCGGATTTGATGGGGGGCATTAAGGATATATGCCCCGGGCCCCCAAATTTTAGGGGCCCCCGAGACTCGAATCAGAAATATAAAAAAATTGCAATTTGGGTTCTCAAACTATATTTTAAAAAAAAAATATAGTTTTGAAAATAAGTAATATTTATAATAAATTTAAAATTAAATAATTTTAATAATCTATACGAAGTAGAAAATATTAAAATTAATTTNGGTCGTCTTTATTGTTCTATATGTAAATTAATGTCTTCAACTTCATCTCGTACACAATTCACAACTGAAGGATTTTCCAATTAGAAAAACTCCAGTGATCGTCTAATTGAGCATGAGACTTCAAAAAATCATCTAAATTCATTTATTGCATTTGGACTTCGATCAGAAATGTTGGGACGTATTGATACAGAACTTCAAAAACAAGTGGAGCAAGAAAAATTATATTGGAAAACAATTTTGACCAGACTTATAAGTGTTATTAAATTTTTATGTAAACGTGGATTGGCTTTAAGAGGAGATGATGAACTAGTAGGATCTAAAAGTAATGGAAACTACCTTGGTTTACTTGAACTCTTAGCAGAATATGACGATTTCTTGAAAAAGCACATTCAAGAAAAATGGAATTGTGAGAGTGGTCACACTAATTTTTTATCATCAAATATTTGTTAACAGTTAATAGAATGTATGGGTCATCAAGTTCTAAATGCGATAGTGACACGAATAAAAATATCAAAATATTATTCTATTTCTCTAGATTCTACACCTGATGAAGGTCACGTCGATCAACTAACTGTAGTATTTCGGTTCATGGAGGGCTCTAAACCCGTTGAAAGATTTTTAAAATTTTTACCTAATCAAGGACATAAGCCACAAGATATGTTTAATAGTATAATGAAAGTTTTGGAAAATAATGCTATAGAAATAAATAATTGCCGAGGTCAATCATATGACAACGCGTCAGCCATGAGTGGTAAATATAATGGTCTCCAAAGCAAAATAATTGCTGTAAACAAGTTAGCAACATGGGTTCCATGTGCAGCCCATTCCTTAAATTTAGTTGGGAAAGTTGCTGCTGAATGTTGTTCATCTGCTATATCTTTTTTTAATTTTTTAGAAGCTATATATACTTTTTTTACTGCATCAACACATCGTTATGATGAATTAAAACAAAATTTACAATCCACCGACAAAACTGTCAGAATACAAATACCAAAAAGAATTTCTACCACTCGCTGGTCATGTCGATCTGACGCAACTAAAGCATTATTTCGTGGATATTCTCAAATAAAATCTACTCTTGACAGTATATCTAATAATTTAAATGAGTTACCAAAAACACGTGATGAAGCAAACGGACTATACAACAAGCTGTGTAAGTTAGAAACAGGTATATATTGTGCATTTTGGAACAAAATTCTGGATCGTTTCAACGCTACTAATAAAATTCTTCAAGATCCCACATTAGACCTTAATAATGCTGTTGCATCTGTCAAGTCATTAAAGTGCTTTATTAATGCTCAACGCGATGGTTTTTCAATGTTCGAGAAAAAAGGCAAAATCATCTCAAAATCAAATGAATATAATGATAATAAAAAACGATCTCGTAAACTTAATATTCGATTGAATCCTTTAGATTATGTTATGGACCATTTAGGGCCCCAAAATATTTTTGCCCTGGGCCCCTAATGTTTAAATCCGGCCCTGACTGTTGTACTCGAGCGAAAGGCAATAAAACGTTTCAAGCACACAACGCGGCTCGTATTTATAAAATTGTGATTTTAATAACCGTCTGTTGGTTACAGTCAGCACGACAACGCGTATTTTTTATGATTACCTAATACCTAATTATTATTAGATACAGAAATAACAACCTAATCTATTTATCTATTTATCCTGTAAATTATTCCATTTCCGAGTGACATGTGTTATTTATTTATTTAGGTATAAATAAGCGGCTAGCGTTATATTATTTATTATATTGTTATATCTAATACCATTTGTTTACTGTGTTCCATTTATGTGTTTAAATGTGTAAACTATACCCGAAAATATACGAACCACGCCGAGATAATTTATAATAATTCATTTCCCGGTGGAAGTGGGGCCAACGATGTTGCTTTACTTTCATATGTTTTGTTATAGAGAAGAGACGGCGCTCGCAACACTAATATGAACATATTAACCAGTAGTAACGAAAGTGAGATACATTTATTTTGTGAGTTTTTGTATTAAAAGCGTGTTGTAAAAAAGTGTAGCGTCCCAAGTCTCGACCACCGATTGCATTGGTATTCGCTCTGTATAATAATATATTAAAACAAGTTGTTGTTGAAGGGGAAAATACATTATACATATTACTATAATATAATATTTTTCCTCGGCTACGGTCGTTCATCGTCTTCAATGTTGCCGTCAAAATCACATCCGAAATTAATGTCTGCTCGCTGTATACGTTTTTGTTCTTATGAGTGGGTCGAATCCGCTACGTACCTATAGGTACCCGGGACGTGATTTATATAATTTTACGTCCCTTCACGGGGCTAATATTCGGTTAAATAAAAACAGCTGTTACTTTTTAACCTTTTTACGGATGAAAGAGAAAAAAAAACGAAAATACACGCACGAGCCGCCCCTCCGACGACTGCTTCGATTTATTGCTTCGCCTGAAGAATACTGCATAATATATAAACCCTGGTTTCTGTCCTACAAACTAGAATAGAAAGGATAAATAGTGTGGTATATACTACCAAGACAAGTTAGATGCATACGGCGCATAAGACTTCTTTGATGTTAACCGACAGGAGAACGAGTATCGGGCGGGGCCTTACGGGTTTCCGGAATAATTTGGAAAACGTGAACAGCATCGCGGTGCTGTGAATACATGTCCGGTTTCCCTGCTCAAATTTTCTTCAGTTTTTTGAATTATTATGAAAACCGCTTGGAAAATCAATAAAATCACCTATTTAGTGCAACAACAAGATCCAAAAGAAGAAAAAAAAAGGTTTCTTGTCATTTTTCAATTGGAGCACGTTTTCTGGTAGAAAATATTTACACGCCAAAAAATAATTATAATATAAAAAAAAAAATATAGACATTAGTTGAACCAATAGCTCCCCTTTCTACGCTCCGAATCTAAAAGTAATCATTGTACTTATGCCTCATTCAAATTAATTTAACATTTTACAATGTTTATTGGTTTAATACGTACTTTCGGTCATCAATTTTCTTATTTTTGTGTAAAAACAATTTATTTTGGGAAGCTTTGAAATATTTTCTTATTTTAGATTCTGAGTCGAGCATAGAAGTTTATGGTTTTACAAAGATGTTTTTTTTTTTCTGTAGACAACTTTTCTATCAGATTTTTACGTTTAGTACCTTTTCTGAAAGGAAATCGGTGTGGGGAGGTACTTTAGGAAGGCCATTTTTCAATTTTCTCAAGTCTTCTCATCAAATGCGAAAAACCGCAAAATAAAACTGAGGAAAAACGGGAAAATATACGAACTATATTTGTATAATATTACGATTTTTTATTCTGTGGACAACTTTTCTACCAACAATTTTACTCCAACTTATATCTCACCATCGTTGATATTGGACAGCAATTGGCATTTACACGAGGATTGGATGGTACTCAATCATGAACTCAATTATTTCTTAAATTTTCATTTGTGGTGTTCAATAAATACCGATAAGTTATTGCCTGAAAATGTAAATGGGTCGAAATCAGAACAGTGATTACAGATTTTAATGCCGACCGGTAAGATTTCCAAGCACTATATGTACGAATATTTTAGAGAAACTTCGACGCACGTCAAACAAAATCTAGTAGTGGGTGTACATTTTATACTGCATGGAAACAGATCGATACTGTCGTACAAAGAAACGCCTCTTGATCAGTTTATGATGTACAAAATACAAAAAATAGAACCTATAAAAGGCGTTAGTCCTGAGTACACAAGGCCGATCACATTTCATGAGGAAAATCAGTTTTACGCTGCCAAATTGAGCACAATTGACTCACGTTTGATTCAGGGTTTATCGCTACTGAACGTTCGTATTTGGGGTTATCCTGTAAACCAGGAACTAATTGCAGCTATACTACAAAAAAAACCTAAGCAGTTTAATATTACCTATTATCGGGATAGGTACAGCTTATTCAACATGTTGAAAAACGAAGTAATGGACTTGTTAAATTGCGTGTACGTCTTTCACGCGCACGTACATCTAACGCAAATTCTGGCCTTATTCGACCTAATGATCGTGTCGCCAGATGAAAACAAGAAATATTTTTCTTCAAACGTGGATTTGGCGTTCAAATACTTCGATATAACGCTGAAAACGATGGCCACGGTTTACAACGAAAATTATGTACCTGCCGGATAGATGGTGTTGTTGGTTTTTTATTTGCAAAAGATACGAATCTTGTACAATAATAATGTAAAGTTTGTGACTGATACTAAGGAAACAATAAAGTATTTAAAATTTAGTTGCAACCAGTGTCACCAGAAATCTAAGATAATGAATTTACCTCTTCAGGAAATACAAGAGGAATACGACCACACGAATGTTCAAATGTACATGCATTTGCAACGTGAATTGACCACAATTCAATTTGACGACCCCTACCGCTACAAAACCGTATCGATCACTTATAAGAATTTAATGCAAATTACGTACTTCTTGGACATGAATTCAACCGTGTTGCGGTACTCAAATTACAAAGATTTCCATCCGTCCAATTGGTTTTTCGACAGTATAGAATTGACCGACGACAAAATCGGCAATTTCCAATGGGATACATTGCCGTACAAACAAAACCATTCAAACTGGAACAACGTGATGCAAGAGTTTAAAGACTTCATACAATTCAATAGCAACGAAAACGAAACGTTGTTTTCCAAATGCAAAGGATAGATAACTCGACTGCAATGTATTCCAAAATATTGAATTTAATAGCGGCGGCTGTCACCAGATTAGTCATCTCGTTCTTGATCTAATGTAATGATATTATGACATCGGAATTATTCAGTTACAATAATAATTACGAGAAACTCTTCATAAACAATTGCACTGGTATAGCCTAGCCGGTAACGCAATTATTTAATATTTCGAGATTAAACGAGCTAGATAGTTTCTTTACCACATTGTCGATAGAATTGCATAATTTTGAATATATAGTACACCAGAAAAATATAAAACAGATTGAAACCCAAGGATTTAAACATTTGATCGAATCATGTATCGTTAAATTACATCTAATTTCGACTAATAGGCCCAAGGGAATCAACATTCCTTTTGACTCGATTTCGGTTACAACAAATACTTTGAAAGAGGATGGTCAGGAAAATGTCTGGGTACGGTTACAATATTTACTAAAAAGGGTCAAAGATATACTAATAAATTACAATAATGATTTGAAACCAACGTTCGGTGATCTCCGTAAGCGGAATTTGTTCATTCGCTCTATCGATGTGTTATGGCAGTATGCCATTTACGATGATGAACTTACTATCCCTGATTCGATGAATGGAATTTCGAACAATCGTAATTATATTCACTATACAAGTGACATGACCGCTCTTTGACCGATGTACTCATCGATTTGTAAATTGTCATCATCGTCACTTGAATATGTGAAATATGTGAAATTTCAACTAGTTTATTTTAAAAAAACTAAGCTAAATTAATACTAATTAAATGAAATAGATAATTGCCTATTGTAACAAATGATACTCTCAGACCAAGAATATTATACCTATATATAAAAAATTAATAGAACTTATTATACATATAAAAATAATATAGGTATAATAGGTTTAATTATAATATTATACCCATCTATGTATATCATCATTAAGTACCTATTGAAATAAATGAAACCAGAAAGAAAAAAATTCTAAAATAAAATTTGTATTTAGTTAAGTAGGTAGTAATGAATGAATCTTGGTTGGTTGATTTATATTGTTTTTATAGGCAAAAAGGTAAAATAAAAGATCCTAATTACAACCTCAGAAAAAAAAAATTAAAAATAGGTATTTTAACTACAAATTATTATCAATGATATTGTTAAAAGCTAAAAATGGTTATAAATATATGGTTCTTAATTTTATAGACACATTTTCAAAATATGTTTGTAAAATATGTTCATTAACTAGATTAGAGGTAACAAATAGATTTATAACAATTTTTGAACAAAATAAACAAAAAAAATGTTTACATAAATATAATATTACAATGTATTGAACTGAGTATAGAAAATAAAAGACCTATTGTTTAAAGGTTTAATACTACTTTGGGTGATAAGTTTGAAAATATACTATGCAAATAGTTTATTGTGTTGATGTTTTACCAACAAATATAAAAGGATTATAATACAAAACATAGTACCTTCTATTAAAATAAAATCAATTAATGTAAATAAAACAACCAATATACTTTAATCATAACTATAATACTCCAAAATTAAACCCAAATTTAGTACCTTTATATGAATATGATACAGTTTGATTCAGCATGTTTACAAAAAAAAAAGAAAGTAAAAAACTAATTTATCTAAAAAAATATTTATCATTATTAAAAGGCAAGATTCAATATTGCCTATTTTACAAATTAAATATAACAATGAATGTGTTCATTAAGGAGAATTACAGTTATCATTGTTATAACCATAAGGAAGTATATTTATACAACTAACTAAAACATCTTTAACCATCATAATATGGTACCTATTTCAATATTTATTGTTCACACATTTAAATTTTTTGATACAATTCTAAGTGTGGCTTCATATTTATTAACAATATTTATAAATTTCAAATTAAATTTTGAATCGAATTAAGTATCTACCTACTTACAAAGGCAAAATATGTTTATTGAATCACCTATATAATAGATTCAATAAATAGTATGGCGTCACATTCACTATTAATAAATCTAACGGTTCATACCAAAATAAATACACGACTGGAAATAGTAATTTTTTAAATTCTGAGGGTGGTGAAGAATATATTGGTTTTACAGTGATGTTTATTGTGTTATCTTATTTTTAGATATTAAAAATGTATAGTTTACACATTTTTGCTTATATTTAATAATAATAATAATTTATTTTGCGTAATAAAATTTCAATTTCAAACATATAACAATAACAGTACATGTGTAAATATGTTGCATAATATAATATTACATAAATATTACTTTATATATAAAATATTATTTTGATACAGATTTTTACTCAAATTGTTATTATCAAGAATAAATATTTTTATATAAAAAATTATTAGATATATTATATTTTTTTAATCCATCATAATTTATATTTAATAATATTGAACTATTTTTTGCATTTTATATTTGAACTATTATGGTCAGTTTCCTTGTGTTTTCATGTCTGAGAAAATTATATTCTCCCATTTCCAACAAATGACATTGGTTGTAAAATATGGGCAAAACTAGTAAATAGTAAATTTATAGTTGAGTTGTTCTGTGTGTATGTCTATTAATACATTGTTTAGGGAACAATGTACAATTATTATTTTACGAAACCAATTGACTTGCTCAACAAAAAAAAAATTAAATTTGCAGTTGCCATTTTATTAATGGCTTAAGATAAAATGGTCACAGTATTTTTGAGTGAAATAAAATGCATGTTTCATTTAAATCTTCCAAAAACATAGCTAGTATGCATTAAGTAAATTAATATTTGTGATTTTATGTTTATGGTGTTGTGATTTGTCTCTTATTTAATATTTAAATTGCAAATTAATTATACAGAGTGGTAAATTTATCATGAACCAGTAATTTTCTTTAATAAAATTATGTTTGAAAATAGCTAGTTCACGTTAAATAAATCACTATATTAATTGTATTACATAAAATATAGTCTGCATGTTATTCCTAAAACTACTTTCATACAAAGTTTCAGTTTAATCGGCCCAGTAGTTTTTATTCTATAAAAAATAAATAGACAAAGATGTTGTATATACAAAGATAATAAACAGTCTTTAATTGTATATTGTTTAAATTGTGCTGTATAATGTTTTCTAAATTATTTTTCTTCTCATTTAGTGTACCTTATCTACTTTTACTTTTCCCTTGTTTCTGTTAATCATTTGAAGTTGGGTAATCTGGTTCTTAATACCTACTCTAACATAAATACTTACAACAAATATGAGCTTTAGTGTTGTTTCTACCTGACTATATAATATATTTAATGAAATTATATAATATAACAGAATTAATTATTTATATTATATTTTAAGCATAAGGTAGTTAATGAAATACTAAGTGTACTTTTCCTATAATTGAACATGTTGATGAATTAGAAACATATATCACTATTGAACTATCCAAAAATATTATTTAGGATAAAGTTGAAATCCATTTTCTTCAAAAAGAAAATGAAGATTTAAAACAAACACCGTTTCTTAAACCTTCAACCTTTTGGTTACCATTCAATCAAATTTGATAACATTTTTGAATTTTAATGTAGTCTAAGTATAGCTATGTTTGACATTATTTTGGATTTATGTTCCAAAGTTTTTGATCATTATTTTTATGGCTGGACCATTAAAATAAATTGCTTAAAAGATCAAATTTGAATGGCTTTTATAAAATTAAGATTAAATACAGCTTACACAAATTTGGTATTTAGATTTAATACTAATAAATATTATTTTGACATTTTTCATTGTTCTTCACAAACATTTGTATTAAAATTTGATGACTTTAGTGTCCTTACAAAACAAAACTCGAAATTGCTTGCCTGTTTTCATAATTTTCAAAACTACAGAATTACATTAGATTGTACTAAAATTACATGCAATATTTCAAAATCACTTTCAGATCAAAAAATTAAAATATAATTCTTACAAACATAAAAGTATATTAAAAGGTTTAATTGGAGTGGCTCCTAATGGTTGTGTAACGTATGCAAGTAAATTATATCCAGTCAACTTCAGATAAAAAATTGATCATTGTGGAATGTTAAACAATTTGCAACCAGATGATTTATAGTATTTTTCATATGTATGCACTATTGCACATAGAACGAGCAACTAAAATTGCCTAATGCAGTAGAATCATGAATCACTTGGAACATAATTTTTACAATTATCAATTATTTTTTCTTTTACGATTTACACTGCTTTTCAAGTCTTTATAGTTATAATATTATTATAAATATATAATAATAATGGTAATATAGTATTAATAAAAGATAAGACACATGAGCTTGAGAAGGTCATGCAATTATCACTTTACAGAGTAAGAAACTGGAAGAGTGCAAGCATATGAAACATAAAAACCAACATTTAATGTACCCTAATATTCAATATAGAACATACAAATTTGCATAAATGCATCCGGTGCTGTCATGTGAAAAACGTCATTAGTTTTAGTAAATAAAGGATTTATAATATTTTAATGTCACCAGCAACTTCATTAAATATTCCTCCCTTTTTAAAGACACTGCAAGTATGTCTATTAATTTTAAAAAAAAATACTGATGATTTTACAATTCATACAATGAGAATTGCAAATAAAGTCTTGGTCATGTACATTTGGCATTGTATTTGATAAAATAATACTGATATATAGAATTTAGAACAAAATCATTTCTAGTGTATTAGTGTGTCAAATGTAATAATATAATTTTTAGCTTTAGAAAGAGCAATGTCTAAATTTTCATTTTAAAATTTGTAGAGACACTTAACTTTAATACAATACACAATGTCATCATTGAGAAGTATTCTATCAGCACTAGCTCCTAAAATTTCAGATTCATGTACTAAATCCCTGTTTTAATAAAATTAAATTTGTATCTTTTCAAATGCCTGTATTGTATTAAGCTTGAATTTTTGCACCACTCAACATTTTTAACTGCTTATGTTATATACTACCATAACAATGTTTTAAATAATGAGTTAGAATAACAATTTATTTTTGATACGTGAATTATTTTATGGAAATTACTAGAAGTTAATCTAAACTTACGATATAGACACTACTTAATATTTCAGATAGTCCAATAGTTTTTTTATGATACATCTTTGACATCTTCAATACATAAATTACAAAACTTTAATAACATAACTCTACGATTTTGGAAAGTTTTAAACTCTTTAGAATGAATAGCATGTTCTAAAATCATCAACAATAGGTTCTGGACTTAGTAACCATTTAAATCCTACAGTTTATTGTGTAGGTTATAATTAACTCAAGCATACAAAATCTAATTTTTGACTATCAAAAACAGCTTAAAAATTATAGCTACTACAAAAATAGTAGTAACTTCTTCAATGGCTTTAACGGGCCTTTTTGACCAGCTACATGATATGTCTGTCACAGATAAATTTGTATGTCCATGTAGTAGCAAAGAAACTATATTGTGGTGGAATTTGGTTTGGCCAGTTGGACATGTAAAGTTTGCATCCATAATTGTTTTATTGTAGAAGGCAGTCTGTAATAATCAAAACATAAATATTATGAGTACTTAAATTAAAAGAAAACTTACATAATTTACCTTAACATCATATAATCTATTTTTCATACTGGCATGCATTTGCCCACTTAATAAGACCTAAATCATGTAAATACTTAATGTTTATTCAATAACCACATTCAAACAAGTTTTTTCCTGAAAAAATATAAATTAAATTAAGTATAATGTACTAATAAAAATACTTATCTGTGATAAGAACAATTGAAGTGAAAACTGGTGTATCAAAAGAATATTTAGGTAGAAATATATGTAAAAACGTGTGAACTTTACATTTTTAACAGTCAAAAAGTTAAGAAATATACTTGAATACAAAAAAATATAGTCTAGGTTTAAAAAATTACAATTTCCTTTCCGCGTAATTCTAATGTTACGGGACGAACCGTGATAACAATATTTGCTTTGAACCGTTACTTAATCATTAGTGAACATGACGTAAACGATAGAGTATCTCTACAGATTAAACACTATGATTACAGATAAGCACGATGCGTCATGGTTGTAGATAATGGTTGCTTATCTATAACCGTCAAAGCACTTCATTAATTTGATAAGATATTTCATTATACTTGGCTGTATTCTTTTAACCGAAATAAATTGTGTTGAGTTAATGTAATACGATGTGTATATACTTAAAATACTATCATACTAGAATTATATAATATTATACTTGAATCATTTTCACATATTATAATCCGTTTTGAATGAGTGTGTATTTCATCAACCGAATACATGTAAAAACTTGGAAAAATATCGCTGTAAATGGATAATTATTTGAAACTAAAAATGTTGGAATCGACATTATATTGAAATGATCATTGTATACATTATAGTATACATATTATCTATGCAAAACTTTAGTAAACTTTATAGCCAAGTTTTCATTACATATTAATTTACATTTATATTTTTGTTGTACCATACAAATTAATACATTTAATTTTTAATCTTTTTTCGCCCTCATTTAATATTTTATGTTATATTGAGGGCTCTGTGTTGAACTAATAGGTATTATAAAGAAACCGGTCAACAATAAATAAATAAAATAAGTAAATACATAAATAAAAAATGTATACATAAAAATAAAATTAATGAATGCATGCGTCGTTTTGAGTATTATGATAAGTGTATTATACGACCGGTTTCGAATTTTGAATCGAAGGTATATCACAGTCAAAATGTAAACCGTGACTGAATATAAAAAATTAAATGAAGAAATACGTAGAAAAAAAAAATACAAATTGTTCGTTTTACATAGAATATGGAAATAATTTATTTTAATAGTAGAGATTATTTAAAATTAGTTATTATTCCACACAGATTTGTTAAGAAACATAAATTATTTGATTATTATTTATTATCTAAAATGTATTGATATAAGATATTATTTTTCTTTATTTCATTGTGTATGTGTAATTCTTCTAAAACTGAATTAATGTAAATGTTTTTTGGGGATTTTTAATATTTCTAAGTGTATTAATATATATTATGTTTATTTTCTAAATTATTCTCTGAAATAAATGCTAATAATAATAATATATTTCAAATTATGTAATTGTAATTATTTATTCATTTTTAAAAATAAATATTCTATATGAAATTTTTGAATCTTATTGTTAAAACAAAAATGCTCTAAAACATATAAATAAATAAAGTAACTAATTTTAGAATTTAAGAAACGTTTGTCATCTGACAAACTAATTTAATTTGTGCGATCTATAAAATAAAAACCCAATATTATATTCTATAAAAAAAAAAAACCCAATTAATTTCTTCTTTTTAGATGCTATTCCGTATATTATTTGTTTTCTACAAACAGATAAATTACAAGTTCTATAAGGCCTAATAGAAAAATAAAATTTTATAAGCTAATGTTTATAATCTTTAACGAGATTATAATACTTATGGAAAATTTTCAATACGGAAAAACCGAATTCGTATTTACTAATGTCTTATCTAGAAAAAGAACCTGATAACGGGAATGATATTGTTAATCTATTTAAATCATATTTTTCTAAATACGTAGGTTACCTTTTAAGTTTTGTGACAAAAAAATATAAAACAACATTCATCATTAAAAATGGTTTTATTGTTTTTTTCAAAATATTCTCCACGAATATCAATAAATTTAATGAATTTATGAATAATATTAAATTTTCGAAGCACTTCTTCTACACCAATTGAGATACCACCAAAACATGCATTTTCAACGCATCAACTGCTTCTTCAGGCGTTGGAAAACGTTAACCACGCAATTTTTTTTTTATGTGTGGGAATAAAAAGTCATTGGGTGCTAAATCCAGATTGTATGGCCGATGACCCATAAATTCGATGTTTTGGCTAGTAAGATAGATGGTTGTTTGAGCTGATTTGCGAGAGCTTACACTGTCGAGGTGAAGAATGATCCGTCTTTGGCGGTTTTTTCCCCCTTATTTCTCCGAAGACTTGGCAAGCAAATAGTTTTGGACCATTCAGAATTAACAGTATTTTTTTAATAATGACAAATGTCAAGTGTATTAATTGGAAAACTGTCAAAATTTAATTTTGGAAATGTTAATCGCAACCAAGTGGATACTGTAGATGTAAGTTGTAGATGGCAATTTTTATCGCTTGGATACGAAAGTGAGAACACTTTCTCAACTTTTAACTGGGAATCAATTTACATTATGCGAACAAATAATTTTAGAATTACTTATAATTCCCAGTTAAAAAAAAAAAAACTTAAATACGTTAAGCGATATTGTAATTCTCCTTATCTGGCGGGCAAGGCATAGTAAGTTGTGACAATATCAAAAATTGCAAGATAAATCAATGAAATATTGACCGACAAATGTATTATGAAGGTTTCAATTTTTGTAGCGATACGGGCCAAGAAATATCCACTAGATAGCGTGTATGGTATGTGCCGGAGCATTGTGTATTCAAAAAAAAAAAACTAATTACTCAAAATCAACTTTTTGGTACATTGCACGTTAATGACTTCAAATCCTCGATTATACTACGTTATAAAATATAATTTTTAAAATAATTATATTAATACACATTATTCTCAGAGGAAAAAAAAAGGAGCGTAGAAAAGGATAGGTGTATTGGTTTTCCTTTTTTTTTGGGGGGGGGAGGGTCTGTGGTCAATTTTTTTTACCAGAAATAGTACCTGGTCGGTTTATAGGGGAGATCATATTTTGATTTATCCAAGGATAAACCATTGATTACGAAAAAATGATTCTGAGTTCAGTTGATAGTGATGCTTTGTCAACAATATATATGTCATCTTATAGTAAAATAATTAAATAGACTTTATTTTCTTTAATATTTGTTTAATGTTGTACCGATTTTCCCAGTTTTCCGACGATTTTTACATTTGCTGGAAAAACTAACGGGTGCGTATACCACTAAATATAAATGCATTTACGGATAATGTCGACAATTTTTTTTATTATATACGTTTTATTGAATAACTTTAAAATCGTAATAATTTTATGTTCTGAATAAATAACATTTGTAACATTAATAATTAATAAATTCACTGTACAAGATGATTTTTAAGTTTTTTTTTATCATGATTCAATAAATATTGTCTATGAAGATTTTGAGTGAAATTGTCTATCCGATTTTTTTTTTCAGTTATTCTAGAACGCTCTTAACCAATTATATTTTATAATATAAAATACCTAATTTCAATATTTTTCTTTTATCCATTACACCGATAATTTTCGATTTTCCAATGGTAAAATCCTCGAAATATTAACGTAAACGTTTATATTTTAATAATAATTTTGACACAAGTAACACTTTGCAGTGTATCGAAGGAAACCACCGAAATAACTGTAAAAAAAGATCATTAGATGATTCCGAAATAACGCGGAAACAAAATAAAAAGTTTTACTCATAGGATCACGATAAAACATCATCATATATAGGTATATTATATATATATATATATTTTTTTTTTAAAATCAAAACCTTTGAAATATATATTTTACTTACTTTCCTAAAGTGGCTTGCGAATAGCGATGAGAGATGATGATGTACCTACAACCACATTGATTTTATTACTATAGTATAATATATAATATTAACGCGTAGGTAGTAACGATACGCGACAACCAATAGAATTTTAATAGAATCTGAAAAGGATAATGTGTGGGTATAGATATGGATAGTTTGCGAAGCGAATTGAAGTGCGCGTTAAAGGACCACTTTTGATGATGTTCAAATTCCGCACAGCCCTGCGAGAAGTGTATATAATAAACAAATTAATCAATATCCGCACGTAATGTATAACACATAATATAATAATATAACGCCTAAGATTGTATTCTGTATTCGTATCCTTATTTAAATGTAAAGAATTTTGAGATCTATGGCACTTAAAATCGAACACATAATAAACGCACACACAATTTTTACGCATTAAAAAAAAAAAAAAAAAACCTGTTAAAATGAAACAGGAAAAGTTTATTATAAAAGTATTATTATAATCATATTATTGTATCCGATAATCGAAATATATTATCCGAAACATAAATACAAGATTGTGAAAAAAAAAAAAAAACTATTATTCGTATATATTTTCGTCAAAACGCAACACAGCAGTGAGATTTCCGGAAACGTTACGATGGATGACCCGTTAACGAACACCGAGAACGCGGCTATCATCGGTTTCGGATACGCGAAAGATCACTACACTGTATTGCGAAGGCAACCGGAATGCGTGGATCAATTTTACGAATATCAGACGGGACGGTCGTCTTGGCCAGAACCCGGCAGGAGGTAAAAAGTGTTTTGATGCGAGCCATATACGAACCAAGGTTAATCGTTAACTCGATTATTACGGTACCCTGTGGCGGATCGCTTGACAGCCTGATGGTCACCGTGACCGGCAAGACGTTCACGCAAGTTTTCATCGCAGAGCTCCGTCCAGAAAGGCCGCTCACTTATGTCATTGTGTCGTCTTTGACTCAACAATTTTTCGCCGGACCAGTCGCCGACAGGCAGACTCTGGAAACGAGGTTCGCAGGAGGTGACTGCCCAGCTGACACGGGCGTCGATCGTATGCCAAAAGTCGGTTTAAAACCAAAGGAACATGTAGGCTATGCGCCTAATTTAGCAACTCGCTGTAAAACCTCGCCCGAGATCACACAATCCGACATCGCCGCTAAAATCTTACAACACATACTGCTCCACATACCTCCACCAGAAATCCAAATCTCTCGCAACGTACCCTCCTCATTGAATACCCTAACTGGTTATACACATTCCGTAATCTCAACTAAAAACCCACCTTCTAGAATCTTAAGCCCCGTATGCCCCAATCCCGTCAACATCTTCACTTCCCACCAACCATTTCAAAACACTTGTAGTTACAGAGTTCCGTTCGACACATTTCATCCGATGAAAAATGTACCTCAACATATAGGACCAATAATTACAGCTTCACGTTTTCCATTAATCATCTTTGATGGGCCGCATCAACTATCGGCGAACACCTTTGTTCGGCCCCAACATTTATCTTTACGACCTTTACTGTTATACCATTATTACGTGGGCCGTTATGACAACGTATAGATACCGACAATACACAGCGGCTTTATCGACTCACAATGATGCCCTAAGTTGGTATCATGTTCCCTTTTTGAGTTTCGTTGTTCAATTTGGTTCTTTTTTCTGTTGAAATATGTAGAAATTCCTCTAAACCAAAATTGTAAGATGTTCTAAATATTTTCCTTGTTTTAAGCGGTAATCCGTGTTGTGTGCATGTTTTACCGTGTTTTATCTGATAAATCGAGATAAATGAATATAAATTTCGTCGGCATGTACCTGCCTACTCATATATCTCTATACGGCGTACGTTCCGTACGCGCGCCAAGAGATCGCGTCGTTTTCGTACGTACGACCGCCAATAACCGAACGACAGATTGCATAATACACTGTAGTGATATCAAAAATAAATAAAATAAAAATAATCCGTCCGTGTTCGATTCCGAGCGACTGGTGTACTGCATTTAGAAATCCGATTGTTTTTTCCTGCTCCGGCAACAAACGAAGAAATATTAATAAATAATACTGTGCTCAGCAACGGTTTACCGTCGCGTAGAAATGTAAATTAAAATATTTTCTGTATTATACGAGTACGATACATTCCAACTGTCTTCCTAAAACATACTCCCTGTTGCCCGGGGAGTAGAATGGCGGCAACATTAAGCCCTGCTTGATATCGTAGAAGGCGACTAATGGGCAAAACCACGAGCGAGTGCTCCGTGTAAGAGCCTACCCAGAGCTCGGGGACGCTTCCCCAATCTGGGAAGACCGACAGCGTGGTGCTACGGCCTGACGATGCTCCTGGTCGAGCATCCCACCAGCGATGCTAAAGCTGGTACCACGGGATGGCAGGAGCCCACGCTGCCTCGAGCATTTAGAGTGGCGGCCTATCACGACGGCCGGCTTCCGGTCTTGGCCGAATTTCGGTCGACGGCGGAATGGTTTCGTGATGGCTGTGTCACTTAAGTGACTATGTGGTTATGGGTCATGCTGACTCGAGGAAAGCTCTAGGTCGAACGGCCTCGGCTGCGAACCGGGGTATCCCCCTGGTGCCTACCCAGTCTATCGGCGGGCTAACACCAAAAACGGAAAGCAGTGAGGTAAGCTGCGGCCGTACCAGCGGCGGGGGATGGGCCGTGCTAGGCTCTAACCGATTGGTACGCGAGGCTCCGATTGTTCCGGGGTTCCGCGGTGCTTGTGGTCCTTAGAACGACACGGGAGAACGCCGGACCGGCTCGCCGCTCTGGAAAGTCTTGAACCTCCGCGCCTCCTAAGTAGCCATAGACTAACACAGGGTGTGCGGTTGTAGAGTGAGATATTCACCCAACAAAAAAATCGGATTCAATTTAAGAATTCTGGGCCAAGGATGTCATTAACAAGTATTCAAAATGTAAACAAATGGCAATTAACTTGACTAGATGTTAGTTTCGATATACATTTACGAAGCATTATTTTAAAAAATTAATTTTTTGAAAAACAAATATCGAAAAAAATTAACAGACGCTTACCTTGAAGACACATTGCGAATAAGCTGTTTTCCACGGATTCCCAATTTTAAAAAAAACTGGCTAAGGAAAAGAAATTAAATTACTTGGTAAATTATTATAATTATTATTATTAACTTAATATTGTAATTCTTTAATATAAATTGATTGTAATAATAATTAGATAATTATACTCTACTATACTCTACAGTATAGAGTAATAGATAGATATCTTGGTAGATACCCATTTACTCCAATTGAGCTACAAACTGGGAGTCTATTATAGAGCACTGATGAGATAATTTGACAAATAGTCTTAAAAACAACATTTACGTTAATAGGGAATCGTGTAGTTATCCTCTTGAATTCCTAATTTGGAGTCCTGTTTAGAACATTGTGATGGGATAATATCACAAAGGCCCCAGTTTTATAAGGAAAGCCAGCAGTACTGTTGGGCTCCCTATTAGGACATTGATAACATGTATTTATTTATTTGTATATAAATTTACGGGAGTAGCCCTTGTTTAAAAGTACAATATACATAATAATTGTAAGACTATAAGACACTTAGGAAACAACTAAAGAAATTTATGGTATTATGTCATATTATGGTAAAAATGTCTAATAAATAATAACAATAAAATTAACTTACCTCGAAGTTACTGCAATCATTTTTAGTGGTGGTATAGAGTCTTATGCACGTGTCATGAGAGATTATTTTTGGATTAACTTGTGTTGCTAGTTTGTCAAACGAACGAATACTCAAAGTCACCCTTAAATCACTGAATGTGGTATAAAACTCACCTCCTAATAACCTAGAATCAATAAATGGATGTGCCCAGTAACGCCTATTATAAGAGGTCTGTAAATAAAGTAATGAGACTGATATCGTAGCTTGTTATATAATAACACTAATGACATTCCGTTTGAAAAGGTTTGTAGATAAACATTTAATGTACCTTCAGTACGAATTTAAACTCCGTAGTATCGCGTGTTGGTCTGTGACAATTATTTTCGTAAACCGATTTTTTTTTAGTACGTTCTGAAAATGAGTGACAACAATTTTGAGCAACGGTGTGCTATCCGATTTTNCGGAAGAAACGAATGAAACGGCGTGTGGCGACGGGAGGGGTGTATATCGAAGGGGAGCATTCGAACGCAGAATAAATTTTACAATAAAACGCTTTTTCGTAACCAGTCTCGTTATCCAATAGCCGCACCCCGTATGTATATTTTACGCGTTGTACATCGGGTGTGTGTACACGCACTTATACACGCTGTTGTGCGCGCGCGCGCGTTACGCGGTGTAGCCGGGGAAAGACCGCGGGCCGAGGACGACAGCGGCTCGGCGGCGGTTCGGCTGTCGTTCGCGTGTCAGTACCGCAAGAGTCCGGGGACGCGGGTTTCGCGAGCGCGCGGCGGCCGCCGGGCGGGCGCGTACCTAACGACACGCGGCCCCGGCAATGACAAAGGAACGGGAATTAAACGATCGGGCCGCGCCGATCGCTCGGCAACAGCGCGGGCGCGTAACAACGACGCAGCGTCCGGCGTTGTCCCGCTCATTTATTTGTATAATAATTTTATGACGCGCGCGCCGCGGGAACGGAAACTCCGGCGAGCGTTTACGGCGGTTCGCGGCGGTTTTATTCATGCGCGACCGCCGTTTTCGGGACTCCGGAGAGACGTGAACGCTGCCGCGCGGCAGCGGTCGCCGAGACCGTCGTTCGACATCCGCGGCGAATACACGTGCGGTCGCCTATGCCATGTACGTATATATACGGACGGGGGCTTGCGCGGACCTCACCGACACGGGGGGGGGCGGGGGAGTCGAGAACGGCGAGAGGGGATGGCGGAGGAGGAGGAGGAGGAGGAGGAGGAGGAGGCCGCCGGGCCCGATACGAAACCGAACGCTCCTTATTAAGGCCGCCGGAGCCGGTTTCCCGAGTTTTCTCCGGTTTCGCGCAGTTTCGAAAACCGTGCGAGTACTGACGAACGCGTGAGTGCGCGTGATCGGCGAAATACGTTGCGCGATTACGACCCGCCGGCCGGTGTATTATCCGCGGTTTACGTCGGCTCCGAAAGCTGCGATTCGCTAACGATCGATTAACATACGTACGCTGTAGACGAGAAAAAAATTAAAACAAACATAAACCGACAACCAGTAAACGTTTCGGCGAATTCGCCATTCGCGGTTAACGTTTTTTAGGCATTGCGCTCTTCGAACAGTACTTATACGGTCTACGAGGTCTGTAAATAAAGTAATGAGACTGATATCGTAGCTTTTTATATGATAACACCAATGACTTTCCGTTTGAAAAGGTTTGTAGATAAACATTTAATGTACCTTCAGTACGAATTTAAACTCCGTAGTGTCGCGTGTTGGTCTGTGACAATTATTTTCGTAAACCAATTTTTTTTAGTACGTTCTGAAAATGAGTGACAACAATTTTGAGCAACGGTGTGCAATCCGATTTTTTGGAACAGATTGAAAATGACCCTTCTTTCTTAGAACGTGTCATTACTGGAGACGAGTCTTGGATTTTCGAGTATGACCCGGAAACAAAGCGTCAGAGCCAAGAATGGCACACATCAGCTTCACCAAGGCAAAAAAAAGGAAGGATGAGCAAGTCAAAAATCAAAAGCATGCTGATTTGTTTCTTTGATAGCTAGGGAATAGTCCACAAGGAGTTTGTTCCTCAAGGCCAAACAGTCGACCAACAATTTTATAAAGAAGTTCTTGAAAAACTTCGAAAAAGGGTCATTCGTGTGAGACCAAACATCAAAAACACCTGGGTGCTGCATCATGACAATGCGCTTTGACACAGCCATTTCAATCAACCAGTTTTTGGCAACCAAAAATATTCCTGTGGCCCCTCAACCCCCTTATTCACCCGACTTGAGCCCTTGTGACTTNTCCAGTAACTGAGTTCCAGAACTGCTATAAACAATGGAAAGATCGACTCCAGCGCTGTGTGGATTCTCAGGGTAACTATTTTGGAGGAGACAATGTAAAGTAGTAATTTTAGTTTAATAAAAATTTTTTAAAAAATCAGTCTCATTACTTTATTTACAAACCTCGTACGTCAATGCGTATTTTTTGTGCACCAAGTATGCAAAAATTGCCCTTTTTTTTTGTAATAAACCTTCATAGTTGGCGACTGAAAAAATATTCTATGACGAATGCCGCCCGTTCTCGTGCGGTTACCGCAACAAAAACAACGCATGGTGTGTGTTTAACCACCGCGGTGCCGTTGCGGCGCCGCAGCGGAAAAAAACGGACGTGTATATCGAGGCCTTAGAAACTATTCATCGGATATAAATGTGTGATACATTCAAATTTTCAGAAAAGGAACTTTTACAGAATGGCTTTCTTATAGAATACTGAATAATATACAGTATCATAAACATAAATATATTTATTTGTTTCAGGTAGTCCAAGAGCTAGGCGAAATAATAATTACTTTTCCATATGATTTTTACCATTGCAGTTTTAACCATCAATTTAATCTTACTAAATCCACTTATTTTGCTACAATGCATTGGATAGAGTATGATAAACGAACAAAACAGTGTAAATGTCAAAATGAATTTTTGCATGGAAAAATTTGTAAAAAGAATACAGCCTGAAAAGTATAAATGATACTATTTATTAACGAAGTAAATAATTATTACCATTTACTGTATTTTACTTCTGTAAACCTGTAGGTACTTGAACAATAATATATGTATTATTGCAGTCATACTATTTATCACCTACTGAGCGCTGTGTGCTGGTGTGAAAACCAATATACGTGTTATGCTTCACATTATCACGGTTCGTTTCGCAACCATATTAGCTGTGATTATTAATATACACATAGTGATATAAAATATAATATTATACATTGGCGCCATATGTTAAACAGAGATAGATATACCAAAAGTATTCGCAGTCTCTTTTTAATATGCTCGCTCTGGCAACACTGTGTGGTGAGCGTTCCAGTTATCGTATAGTTTAATGGAAAAAAGTAGTATGTAAATATACTGTTTAAGATAAGAATTTAAAAATAAACCAAAACAGTAAATACCACTGTGTATCGATGTGTCATATGGTAATTATCTATTCTTTAAAGATTAGAAGATATACCAGCCACTCAGACTAAAATCAAGGAAACGGCCTTGGAAGACAGCTAAAGACCTAATAAGATCAGGATTTGAAACTAAAAAGTACTGGTGCGATGAATGGACTAACTCTACTATACTAATCAAAAACAAAAACCTAGTGCTAGACCCCAATCAAGGAGTTATGGGTATGGAACTGCCTAGACATGAGTGGTCTGTAACTATATCGTCTTCGAACAGGCCATGGCCGTTGCGCTAATATGATGTTTAAATGGCGACTCCAAGACAGCCCAGCATGCGACTGCGGCAACGATAGACAAACTATAAATCACATTATAAAAGAATGCCAGCTAAGGAAATTCAACCGGGGCATCGAAGGAATCCACGTGATAACACCGGTAGCAGTAAAGTGGATAAGGGAACTGGACGTACACCTGTAAACTGTTACGCATTGTTATTTTATATTGTTATATTATATTATATTATATATTTATAAAACCTTAACCTTTTCAATCTAAATTTAATTAAATTATGCTTTATGTTTATATTTTATTTTTACTGTTTAATTTTGCTGTAAGTGATTTGTTAAGCCAAACTAATAAATAAATGGTTATTATATAAATATATATTTTATTATTTGTCACAATAAACATAATGATAAACGCTGATAACAAAAATGATGATTTTAAACAAATTCATATTATTGTTGATCTGTGTAAAAAATTCGACAATGGAGGATCAGTTGTCTAAAGTACACCTATATTATTATTAATATAATTTAAACTAAGAAGATTATTCTTTATAATAGCGAATAGAAAAATATAAATGTATCATCCATGGTTGACTGGTACCTTAAAAACCGTACTGAAGATGACCGAAACTTTTTAAAAATCACAAGACCGGAACCCTTAATATTTTTTTTTTTTTTATAAAACCGAAACCGAAATTCTATATTATTGAGAACCGAAACCCTTAAAATCGTAACGGTTCGAGTTCCCGACAATAATGCTGATTTCTCAAGTGAGTTTTATTTTATTCACAAATGGTACAACTAGCTATATCGAATTGACATACAACACAAATTGATCAACAAAATGAAAGTAAAACTATTGGCCATTTTAACCATTCCTCATTAGATTGTACAATAGCAAATAATACTAATTATTCTGCACCATATATTTGTTATAGAATAATACATATTTATAAACCATCAGGTATTTTTAAGTACCTACTAAAAATAATATTCGATATTCGGTTTTTCCAAATCAAGAAGTCCATACTTTTAAACAAAATTTGTTAATTCATTTTACAATAAACGCATTATACAATCGATGGTGATAAATGTTTGGAATATATTTGCAAAATACATTAATATTAGCCCTTTTTTTATTATACTTATATATCAAATGGTTTATTATATATTTTCATTACATTAACATTAGTAAAATTAAATAGACAATAGATAAAATGATAGGTATCAGTAAAAAACTTCTTTTAAAATAAAAAAAAATGTAATAAATAAGAATTATGTTATTGTTTATGATAAGTATATAATTTGTTAACAACACTAGTATACTATAATTGTATGTATTTTTAAATTCATAAATACGATATATGTAGTCATAAAAGCTATAATTTTAATTTTTCAATCAATGCTTGTCACACAAATTTTGACTTACCGACAACCAAACGTGAAGGCAACTTAGTTGGTTTTTCAGTAGTTCATATTTTTATGACGCTATCATCATGCACATCACACAATCACGAATGCGTGGTTGTAGGAAACCAAGGACTTACCAAGAACTAGTTTCACATTATTTTTTTTATCATATCATTAATAATTTGTAACAAATTTAATCACACCAATGACTCAAACATACGAGCTTACAGGACACAATGCCATGCCAGGGGCTCAAAAAATACCTTTTGAACTTAGGTTTAATAAACAAATAATTGATGTGAAAAAACTCATTTTTACTTACATACGTATTTATATTAAACCTTAAATGACTACAGATATCTATATCAGTGTTCACTTTTAGCACTAGCACTTTTAAGATAGGTAATAGGTACTCATTATTTCTGTGAATATCAAGTTTAGCAATTATATTACTATAAGTGAAGATTAGATGTTTAACTTACAGGTATTATACATTTAAATAAAAAATTCAATGTATTTACTGTGTTAAAAATTAAAATATACAGCACATTAAACAATAATAATAAAAATGGAAGAATTAGTTTTAAAACAAACTTATGTTATTAAAATTAGGTAATATTTTTATTTATTTTTTATAATAGAAACCATTCAACACATTTGTAAAAAAAAATGTTTTTTTTTTTTTTTTTTTTTTTATATATTATTAAATGATACAATTTATTATTAGCCCATTATAAATGCAAATATATTCAAACACAATAAAAACCATTAATATTGTAAATGGCATGATTGAGTAATGAAAGTCCAAACTTCCTAAAAATTATAAATAATAAATTGATTTCCTGTTATACAAAGATCAAATGTGATATTTTAATTTTTTTAAAACATCCCAGAATTTTTTTTTACATTTTTGCATTTGCATTTGCACCCTCCACTAGTAAACTACAAAAACTTTTTAAAACTGTTAACACTACATTTTGTAGTCTTGGAACATTTTCACTCAAAATATAATACTATAGGTACTATTTAACTTCTCTAATGATATCAATACTGTGAGCTTTTTGGGGGAAATGATAACTATAATACTCATACCAAAATTAATTACTTAATCTATTTTTAAATTGAATACAATTTATAATATTATTTATTTATTTGAATTTTTTAAGTTATAGTATGTTAATGTTATAATTCTTAATTGGCTCAGTCTATATTGTTGAAAATAAATAATAATGGGTAATTACTATCGCACCACTAGTGACACTATATTATACTAAATATATCTAATCAATACCTATATGGGTCCATATTGTTTTGTTACTATTATTGGTGTACTCATATTGAAATTGAAAGTATTATTACACAATTTACTAGATTATTGGTAAATTGATCCAAATCAAAAATTTGGAATCTGTTTTACAATGTTGGTAAAATACTAGCAAATGCAACATATGTTAACATGATTGTGAAGCTGAAGGTGGAAACACAAATCACAATTTATTAACTAAAGTAGTCATTTAAAATGCCAGACACCAAGAATTTGCATCAAAAGGGTTAAATAAAAAAAGAGCTAGACAATATTTTAAAGTAAATATTTTGGATTTAGCATGATTGATAACTTGTAATAAGCGTATCACGACGCATACCTATTTTCTGTTTATACCATAAGATAAACAAACAAAAAGGAAGAAAATAAAAAATAAATTCAACTTTCTACCACCACATCAAATAAATAAACACAAGGGCTGGTTCAACATATGGACATTATTAATAAATGTATTTTAAATACCAAACAGTTTAAAAATAACTGTTATTAATTGGTACGATAAGTCTGATAAGTTCATAGTTATAAATAAATTTGTCTATTATTGATCAACTGACTAGCAGCTTGACAAATCGTTTTCCAAGTAATTAACTCATTATAGCAGACATCCATATCAAAAATCCTAATTCCAACAAATTTTAAAAATCAGTTCTATTTAGAAAAAATGTTTTAACACTTTATCGACCACCAGAATTTATGAACTACAATCATTTGCAAATATTTATAAAAATATTGTAGGCTCGTTGAATAAGAGAACAGATGTCCATCAAGTTGGCATCGGGACTTTATGCTATGCCTATAAAACTAATACCAAAAATGATCTAACAAAATCTAACAAATTCTTAACAATTATGAAAAAGCATTGGCTGTGCTCGTTCTCCAGACATTCCAGATATCCTTCTCGACAGTCATTCAAATAAGATTACAGTAAACATCGCCAGTCATAAAATCTAATAATGGTATATCATTGTTATTCTGATAATTTCAAGTTGGTAGGTATTCAATACAATACAAAAATAATTTATGAAATGTGACCGTTTGACTGTTATAATCTGTGATTCGGTCTCTCCAAGAATTTTCGTGTTCAAAAATCGTGTTCCGTTAATATTAAATATTAAACTAATATTTAGACAATTTATGAAAAATAAAAACATAAATATGGTATTAAGTTCTATGAGCTATGCTCACCAGATGGATATGTACTTAATATTAAAATGTTAAAGTAACAGGTAATTCAAAAATTAATGATTTGGTTTTAAGTCTGGTTACACTATACTTGAATAAGGGATATCACCTTTAGATGGATAATTATTACAATTCAGTTAATTTTCAAACTTATTGTATAAACAAAAAATACACACAATTGGAACACTTCGATTAAATAGAAATCCTACATCAATTGTTAAAAAGACTTTAAAATTAAAAAATGGAGATCATTGTTTTGCAAAAAAAAGACCAGTTTATGTCAGTCGTTGAAAGGATAAGAGAGAAGTGTTTTCTATAACCACTGTTCATTGTCCAGAAATAGTAACTACATCTAACAGATTTCGTCAACAAGGTACAAAACCCAGGCATATTGTTGAATATAATAAAAATATATCTGGTATTGATAAATGTCACCAGATGGTAAGTTATTATTCGTAACCAAAACAAAAACCATTCGCCGGTACAAAAATGTTCACTTGCTATATCTTTGTGGAATTCATATTATTTATGAAAAAAAAAAAAATGAAATGATGTGAACCTTGGTTTTATTGATTTCCACTTAACTGTAATAACAAAACTTCTTCATTTACCCAAAAGTATTGTACATGGTAGTCAATCAGTAATAATAATAATAAAAAAAAAAAATCATAATAAAGACATCTAATCAACCAAGAAACACCTCAGTGGTATTGGAACATGTCCAAGAAAAAATACCTCATCCTCCAAGTATTATATTTTTATAATAATTTTTTGGGAACTAAAATTGGGAACATTATTTCAGGTTGGAAGAGAAAAGAGTACTACTTAAGATGTAGACAATGTACAAGCAGAAAACAAGTGAAACAAACTTCATGGAGGTGTAAGAACTGTACTGAAAAACTGCCTTTGTGCCCAGGGCCTTGTTTTTTTAGATTATCATAGTGTTGCTTAGTTTCCTAAGACTGTTTTATTTTTATTTAATTTTACTTTTATAGTGAGGGTTTTTTTTTAATAATAGAAAAATACAGAGAGAAGAAGACATTTAAATTGTGATAAAAGTTGAAATTGTTATGTTTGCTTTATTACTGTTATTAATTTTATAATATATAGAGCAATGTTTTTACTACTGAAAATGTATAAAAACTATTGGATATCATAGCAAGTAAGTTCAAAAGTTTATTGAGATTTAATTTTGTTTTTATAATAATAAAAATATTACATTGTTTTTTATTTTATAAAATATATTTTGATAATTGTAATTTGAAAGTAGTATTGTAGTATTTGTATTTTGAAAATTTGTATACATAAAAAAAGGTTTTATCCTTTTAAAATATTTATAGCTATGATCTCGGGTATACCTAATTAGAGAATACAGTTCGCCATCACTAGTGCATTTTAGTAAAAAAAAAAAAAAAAACAATAACATGCTATAGCATTCATGCCCATGAAAAAAATGAATAATGGTAATAGCATGCTAAAGCAGTTGAATGTTTTTTTTTCAAAAACGATTTATTTTTAAGTAGTGGTCATTTGTGTATAGATTTTATCAATATTGGACACATGGAACTTAAAAAATTAAACTGATCCAATAAGGGGTCAAAAGTTGGTGAATGCTATAGCAATCATGTCCATCAACGTGTTAAAACCTGAAGAGGTATATGATAAAATTCTAAAAAATAAAGAGAAACAAAAGATATGATAAGATAAAAACACACAGAAAAAAAAAAGAAAGTATTCTTTTTGTAGATCAGGTTGTTTATTTATAAAATAAATATAAAGGTACTTTCCTGTTATCTCGACTACAAATATATTTCCAAGACTATCTGCTATAATCAATCCTGTTATTTCATTTTTCCAATTTGATGTAAAATTTAGAAATTTTGAATATTCATTATTGACAATTTTAACACATATTACACATTTTTTTTCCACAACAAAATTGTTAACACAATTAATTTTTTTGTTTTGTTTGATAATATACTATAATATGTATACCTGTATGAATGTTTACTTTTATATTGAAATCATGCTTCAAATTAAATTCATTATTAAAACGTTGTAGTCAAGATAACAGGAAAGTACCATAATAAATTGTACCAAGATGTAATTTAGAAAAGGATGAAAAATGGAGAATCTTAAGAAACAGTAGATGTTTAAAAGAAAAGATTTAACAATGAACTTGATTTAAAATTAACAAATGAGGATAATACTGAGAAAAAGGACAAAAAAGTTATTGAAAAAAATTATAAAACCAATGAGGATGAAAAGTAAATAATTGAAAATAAAGTAATAAGTAGAGTGGGTCATTTATTAAAAAATCAAATAAATTGAATTTATAACTAATATAAATTGTTTAGTATTTAAGATGTCTTATTATTAAATTTTTAAATTATCTTAATATATACAGTGGGTCAAAAAAGTCTCCGTACACGGATGTTAGATTTTTCCCATTACGCATAATGATAATTAAATAATTGAATAACTTTATATTTTTTACGACAATTTATTAGTATGAAAATGATGATGTATGTACACATGAAAATTATGTTTTTAGAAAAATAAAGCATATATATATTATATCTTGTTCTATCAGTTATATCTTGCGTTTCTTAATACATTATGAATGATCTGTGGCACAACTTTTATATTATAGTCAGTGTCAATCATACCTGCCAGTTTGGGTGCACTGGATTTTGGTTCCATCACAATTGTCCTTAGAATGGCCGTAGTATTTTGATTTGATTCTGAGAGAATTCCCATCTTCTCTTTGTTGAACTACTATTTTACGAACAACAATCGGTATTTCCATTGTTTAATGTAAATAAATGAATAAAACTTACAGTACGACTGATGGCTAGGTACGTACCTACTGTCGCGCTGATCATGCTCACCGGGTTTTATCGTCAGATTATATTGCCAGACTATATTATTGTCTCAATTTATGATAGAACTCTCAATATCACGAGTTTTTCCCAACTCAACACTATTTTTATCAAATATTCGTATTGTGTACGGAAACCTTTTTTTTTGTGTTTTTTTCTACATTTATTTATAAATATACAAGTAAATAATAAAATAATTAATATATATATGCTTTATTTTTCTAAAAACATAATTTGCATGTGTTTACTAATAAATTGTCGTAGAAAATATACAGTTATTCAACTTTTTAATTATCATTATGTGTAATGGAAAAAATCTAACATCAGTGTACGGAGTCTTTTTTGACCCACTGTAAATGTTAATATAAGATTTTTTTTAAAAAAAAAAATAAGAAGCGTCAGTTGTATACACTGACTAGAGTATTGTGCGTGTGTGTAGATAAATCACTATTAGTAATATTGTCCATCATTATTTAATTACTACCAAGTTGACATGTATAAAATCATTACTCACTCTTCTATATAATTATTATTAAAATAAAGTTGTACTTTAACATTGTTAATTGTATAATTGTAAAGCAAATATAAATTAAATTTTAAAAACATATTACCAGATTGTGTTTTGTGACCCGGAACACACCGGGGGTCCGTTTTCTGAGTCAGCCATGTTTTTCAACATAGACTGTCGTGGAAAAAAAAATAAAGGATTCGTACTAAAGTTAAAAACGACCGTTCTGGTTGACGGCAGGTGTAAAATGAAAGACTAAATTGAAAATACTTGTGGTGAGTGGCGGCAGCGGTGTAGCTGGCGGCGACAAGATTGCGATCACAAAAATAGAGATCTCTCATTGGCCGTTGCCCGGTGACCATAGGCCTAGTTTACACCCTTGACTTGATACGCGTACCAACCGTTCGATACGCATCAAGTTTTCGTTATAAACAAGATCGTGCCAGATCAAATTTGATTGTATCAAATACAGAAATGAATATTTTAAGGTTATGTTTTTGTTTTTGACTTTTTGTTATTACTATACAATAAGTGTGCAATAAAAGTTACATTTTATTTTTTAATAGTGTATTCAATAATTATGTCGTTTGTAGAAAAGGGATCGAATTGGTCCGACGAGTAAACTAAATCTTTTTTATAATTATGTAATGAAAAATAAATTTAAAAGCTCATGGATAGCAAGAAGTATAATCATATAGATATTTTGAACAAAATGACAACAAAGAAAATTCTGCAAGACTTGTAATATTGTTCTTTTAAAGATTGTATACATTGTTATATAAAGGTAGAGTTCCTTTAATTTTATTGTTATAATAAATTTAATTTAATTTTACTTTCGTCCTAAAAGCTGGAGTTATTATTTTTCATAGATTGTTATCAGAATTGTTGATTAAAAGAGCGTTACAAGAATATGATGTGTATTATGCTATTCTGGACACATTAAAAGATGTATATTTTAATTTTACTTTTGTAAGCAAAAGTTTAACAATCTTATATGGTGATGATATCAATTGATTATATAAATAAAGTTATCAAAAACTTTGATGATTTTATAAAAAGATTATAATACAATTTCTTAGTTTATAGGTCACTCGAAGGTTAATTATTAAAATTGAACAATTATGTTTGAATTTAAATAAATATAGCATTTGTGAGCAACTATTAAAATACTACAAAGTAATTATAGTACAGGTATTACATATCAAGCTTATTTAATTAACTCATATAATTTAAACTATAAAGTATTAAGGCAATGATAGTATGACATGTTATTGACAAGTGTATGCTTTTGAACAGTATTTACAGGATATTTTTTTAAATTTATGTTTCAGATAATATTGACGAGCAGAAATTTTTAAATAATCAGTTTTGTAGTTTCTGGAATCTTAACCTTTTAGAACCCTGTAGATATTTTTAGACAAAAAGTAAGAAAATATAAATTTTTACATTTTTCAAATAAAATTGTACTTAAATTATGTTTGTTACAGAATTCGAAGTATTAATGTTCATTTCAAAAATAAAAATCAATTTTTTTCCTATACCATTTTCCATTATTGTTGGTAAAATAGAATCGGAAAGGTCAAATGTTTTTTTTCATAATTTAAAAATATGTTGAGTTCGGATGAATTAATGAACTAGATGTGTAGTCTCTGGATTTAGTTGAAAGGTTAGTGTTTCCTTTGCTAATTAAAAATTCTTTATATAGTTTACAATTGTTATTTTACTATAAAATTGTTCGAGTCATATAGCCTGCAATATATCCAACATTCATATCAGTGACAATTGTAAACTTTTTTTCAGAATCATCTGTTATTGGAAAAGTGAATAAGCTTTCATCATTTGCATTGGATTTCTGATAACCTGAAGTAATAAATTGTTTTAATTATTTAAAACATTGTCTTATTCATCCAATTCACAATTTCCCATCAATTTGATCGAAGAAGTCATTTATTAATAATGCCTTAAATGATGAAACAAAATGATAGCAGTCTGGATTTGTGTTCCTATAGGAATGACTTCTAATATTCCCAAATAAACATTGCAATGAATCCTGATTAATGTTTCTAGTTAACAGGTATTTTAATTTGTTTATTTTTCAGCTTATACCAAAGATATTTAAAAGACTTAAGTGTTATGACCCAATTGTTAATGCACAGTGATTGTTTTGCTAATGGCTTTTTAGTATTTTTGTCAATGAATTTCATACTTTTAAAAACTGTTATTGCTTGATTCCAGGGTTTGAGATGTACATCTTTGGATTCAATTTAAAATGCTCCTGATAATGGTTTGCATGCATCTGGAATACTTCTAGAAGCATTCAAGGAATCAAATGTTTTATTGACAAATAATAATTTATTAACAAACATAGTGAAACAGTACTAAATATAAGAGATTATAATTATAGTTGGCTAAAAGAGAAAGAGCAGGAGTAGTGAATACCAAGGTCTTTAATAATGGAAACATGCTTTAGCTGTATACTATTAAGGGTGTATGAATAATGCATTGGGCTTCTTGATCTAGTGAAAGAAATCACTTTGTGTTTGTTAACATTGAGAGAGAAGCCTAGTTGGGAAACCCACAAATCGAATTGGATAAGTTTGCCTTGTAATATATAGCAGTTAGCAGAAGTTTTGATTTTATAGAATATTTATATACCATTGGCATATAGTAGGAATTGAGCTTTATTCAAGTGACTAGAGATAGAGTTATGAAACAGGGAAAACAAAAGATGACTTGGATAACTACCTTGTGGTACACTAGAGATGACATTGACCAAGTTAGACGAAATACCGTTAAGTTTGACAAATTGTTTCTGGTCAGAGGAAGGAACGAAACCATGGTAATAGTGGATCACTAATCTCAATACGGTCAGGTTCATATTGTGGGGAACAGTGTCAAATGCTTCAGACAAATTAGTTAGAATGACATTTACCATGCAATTATCCTCAAAGCAGTCTAAAATTAATGAAAGAAATGATACACTACAGGTAATTGTGCTATTTCCTTTATGGAATCTATGTTGCTGCAGAATAAGAATATGATTCAGACTTGGACCTACATGATTAATGACAATGGATTCAAACAATTTGGCGATGTAAAGTGATATAGAGATAGGCCTGTAATTCATGGCAGAGGAGTTGTTAGAGGTGATGGAGGCATCAAAAGGTTTAAAAACAAGTGAAAAATATTCAGAGAAAAGAGAAGCTGCTTTAGAGTTGTTAGAAGCCTTAGTTGATCCATAGCAGAGTTTAGTAGGAATTGAGGTGTCCTGATTGAGATTGTAGAAATATTTCCCAAAATCACGAGATGCGCGTGAAAGTTGGTTTTCAACAAAATTCACTTGGGAATGTTAGTTAAATTTAGAGATGCGCTTGCACTTAACTCTTAGTTCTGAGAATTTATTGTAATCACAAACACGAGAAGATCTTTTAAATTTCATGTGTGCCCGTTTTTTTCTGAAAAATTGAATTTTTGAGTTTGTTAGAGGTCAAATGTGGGAACGAAGAGCATTTAATAGTATTTGAAAGAACAAACCTATCTATACAGTGTAGCAAGGTATTATTAAAAACTGATGCAGAGTCGTTGGCATTGTACTGAGCAAAAGTATCAACCCAATTAAAAGACAAAAACATTTATTAATTTCAGAATAGTCTGTATTATTAAAATCACAGTACAGGAAGGATTCGTATATTTTCGGAGACTTGGGGAAAGGCAGTGGCGTAGCCAAAGGGGATGTTACTGTGTGTATATTATTTTAGGATTTAAGTATAAACTATGAATGTCTGAAATGTTTGTAAAATTTGTATGACTATTAATTACAGATAACAAAAATATTTTATTATTAAAGAATAAGACTCAATTATCAACCATTATTTTGTTGGCTTATTTTTCCTTAAATATATTAAAAAATAAAATCCAAATTATTGCTAACACTGTTTGGGTTAAACCTCCAAACCACTTCATACCTACACCACTGGAGAAAGGGCAATTTAGTATTTAAAGAGGATGATAGGAGTCAAAAGGCACTAACGGAAGTGTAGCACTACTGACAGAAAGATCCCTGGAGAAAGCAAAAACTAGATCGAGAAGGTCACCTGCGGAGTTATAAATAGTATTACATTGAAAGAAATTAAGGAACGAGAAAGAATCAGTTAATAGATTGGAGGCAGGTGTTGATAATAAAATTCCTTTATAAAAAAAAATACTAAATTAAACTCAATTTTTTTTTTTACCACAAAGTAGACTTATTGAATCTTCTATTAAATTTTTAAGCATTTCTGTTAGTTAAACAATTTTACCACAGAGTACCTACCGAATAAAAATTACGTACAAAATTTGCAATGTTAATATGTCTAAAAATTACTCAAAAATGGCTTAAATTTTTTGAAAATTTGACCACGTTCAGAAAAAACAAATATTAATTTTTTGTCAGAATTTCAACTTCTATGAAGATTTTTAACTGAATTACAACAAATAACAAAATTAAAAAATAAAAGTATTATTTTTATAAATTCACTGTTTTTCTTACGTTTTATACTAGTTTTTCCTATATATTATGAAAACTGCTTGAAAAATCAAAAAATTACCTCCTAAAAGTACCATCTGGACATCATTTCCTTCCAAAAATGATGGTGCGCGTGTATATCGGAACAAAATTTCTGGTATAATTTTTGTACACAGTATAAAAAAATAAATAAAATAAAATAAACATCTTGGTAAAACCTTTACATTATTCGCTATACTCAGAATCTAAAATCTATTTCTCTAAAGTCTTTAATTCTAAAGTTTCTTTCTGTTATTGTACGAATCTTTGTTTTTGTTATTTTTTCCCCACTTCTGATTTTATAATGCTGATTTTTATAGCACTTTATTTGTTTTCTTTCATTTTTATTTCCTCTATTTGAATCTATTATGTATATTGCATATATCATCAGAAAAGATAATTATGTTATTTCTTAAAATTATAATATTACATTAATTATTATTGTGTTGTTTACATATAATGTACTATTAATATTATTTTTATTCTTAAAGTAAATTAAGACTGCCTACTCCTACCACAAGCATTGCTTACAAGGAGTAGGTATCAACATATGTTTAACTTTGTTTTAAATAATATGTATATGTTTTGATGTTAAATAAATAAATAAGTGTATGAATGCATTGCCTGGAGCATTATCATAAGTGCATATTACGACCGGTTATACCTGATATATGATATACTTGATGATGAATTTTTAATTCGAAACTGGTCGTATAATACATAATATCATAATACTCCACGTAACACATTCATCCATTTATTTATTTTTTATTTATATATTTATTTATTATACTTAATAATGTTTGTTTAATATTGTATTTATTTTTCTGCTTTTCCCATTCGATGGGAACACTCTTGGAAAAAGAATGACTTTTCTAAAGTACCACTCCAGTCAGATTACTTTTCAGAAAAATTGTTATCATTGTAAATTGAATCAAAATTTCTGGTAAAAAAGTTTTAATATTTTTTTACTAAAAAACTTTAAAAACTAGGAACTTCATTTCGTACATTTTACATTTTTCCCCAATTATTGGGAAGACTTCTTGGAAAGTCAAAAAATAACTTCTCTGAAGTACCATGTAGATAAAATTTCCTTTCAGAAAAGGTGCTACACTTAATACATCGAAGCAAGATTTCCGATAGGAAATATATTTTAAAATGTACGGCATAAATACAGTTTGGATTAAATATTTGTTGGATATAATATAAAGCCCTTTCCCGTTTCCCGAAATGTTCGTTCTTGGGAACAGAATAACTCACTAACCGTCCATTTGTCAAAATATACATAATTTGGGTCATTAAAATAGGGGACGCTAAAAAAAAAAGTAGAACAGCTCCGCCCCCTGCGTCCTCCCAGTTCGAACAATATGATTAATGTATTCGTTTTAATATTATCAATTATACGCGGTTTTATTATTTTACGATTGTAATATTTCATGTAATTAGTCGAGACAACATTGAAGAACGAAATTTAATTGCATCGTATAAAACTAATAATGCATGATAGATAGTTATCTATCATATTATTATTGATTCGTGTTTTATATTAGGTATATTATGTTAAATTATAAATCGTTTTGATAAAAATGTATCGTTATACTTAAGCTCATTCGGTATCGGGTTAATAAGTACATTAATATAAATTACTTTTATTTTGAATAATCATCTGTACTACGAATGGTATTTATTTTTAAGCGAAATATTGGTCAAATCTACTAACGAGTCACATTATAGTGGATAGGGATTTGATTTTGTTAAAAAGCAAAATGTTGAACATCTGTTTTTCTGTGTAAAAAGTAATATTATAGCTGGAAAACTATAGCGGTACCTATCTCTACATTTGTGCTTATTTATACAGTGTTTTCGTTTTATTTTTCTCGTTGTGACCCGGTTTCCTTTTAATGTACTATACCATTACGGAAATGGATTTTTCCCGCAGCACCGTTGGTTAAAAACGTTTCTGTACATACTTCCAGTCCTCTACCCATCAGTTAAACTATAAATTGAAATAATCCTTGCATTTGTTAAAAAAAATAGTATATAATAAAACGTAACAAACGTACTAAATTTTTTAACAAAATTTATTTGATCCCGTATTGTTTTAATCAAATCGGGTATAAATAGAATGTATAATATAAATGAATTACTACGGGAATACTTTTTTTATTAGTTAAACAATGATTAATTAGAAGGCGGACATACTTCACACGATGGGTGAATCACTGTTATAGGTGATAAGTTAGGAAGGTAGAATATATAAGGGAATTTAATTTATATTTGTACGCTAAAATAAACCAACGCTAATGAAAAACGATTCGGAGCAAAGTATCTTTTATGTATATGTATTATGTAGGTACGTAAATTTTCCCGGTTTTGTTACGTTTTTCCCAATTATTATGAAAACCGTTTGGAAAATCAACAAAATACCACCCAAGATATTTCCTATCAAGAAAGGTACTGAATAAACTTCAAAATCGAAGCAATTTTTCTAGTAGAAAGATTGTTGGCAGATAAAAAATTAATAATTAAAAAACTACTAGGATAATGGCAATGGATTCAGACATTTTCATAGATAATTTAATGTATATCTGTAAGTAACAATAAATTACTGCTAACGAAAAAACGATTCTGAGTGTAGTTCGGTTGATAGTGTTGCGTCGTCAACAATATAATATGCCATATTATTATGGTAAAATAATTACATATACATTTTATATTTTGTTTAACATTGTATCTATTTTCTTAGTTTTTCCCATTTAACGGAGAAATCAAAAAATGACCATAATATTTTGTTGATACATTTTATACATTTTCTCGTTGTTTCCGGGTTTTCCCATTTGTTGTGAAAATTTCTTTGAAAATCAAAAAAACTACCTCCTTAAATTACCTTCTTAGTTAAATTATCTATTTTCTTTCAGAGAAAGTGCTATCATTGGAAATCGGAGCAAAATTGCTAGTAAAAAAGTCCACAGAAAAATAAAAATAAACATCATTGTAAAACCGATACATTCCTTGCTATGCTCCTAAACTAAAATGTGTCAAACTTCTGTTAATTTAATTATCAATAAGCAATTCGCGATGAATAAAATAATGTATAGGTATTCATTGATTTTAGATCCTAAGCGAAGTTAAGAAGTGTTTTCATCGATATTCACTACCACTTGCTTCTTCATGTACTTAAGGGGTTCTATATAGGTAATTTTTGGAAAATTACAATTTGATAAACTTAATAGTATTCAAATTGATTTTCAAATATATTTTCAAGTAATTCAGTGTCATTATTATAATAAATATTTATTGTGTCATCGTTTAATTATAAAATGCATATGTAGATACCGTTTCGTACAGACAAAAACTATTCGAGCAACAGACTTAATTAAGACATTAAAACCAAATTTTTTAAAAAAAAAAAAATACATTGTGCTATATTGGGTTTAGTTATTTGATATCGTTATTACCGAAATAGTTAATCGAATTTTAAAAAACTTAAGTTAAGTAATACATTTTTTTTTTTTTAATTTGTGGTATCGAAGTACTAAAATCATCGTTGCGCAGTGCAAGATTTTCATTTTTTATAGCTGAAAATTTGGTGTCTTCATTAGATCTATAGCCCGAGTATTTTTTGACCATTTAAAACATATTTTACAGCTGAATCGCAGTTGAACCCCTTATAATGATTTTACGTCCTTTAGTTGTCGTTTAGTGATATTATTAGATATTTTATCAGATACTCTTTGTTCGATCATTAGTATAAGTTCCTGCAGGATCCTGTTATGTGCATTGAAGTCTCTGATAGAATTATAAAAGGTTTATAAAAGGTTGGGTTAGGTTTCAATTATTTTGTCCGTTACTGTTTTTCCAGATACACAATTTAATGTGTAATGTGAATGTTTCATTTTATTAAATTTTAATTTTTGGTCCCAGAGAAGAAGGGGTTTAGATAATACTTGGTATTAATTTTTTTTTTTCTAATGATTTCTAATATAATTCGCTTCCCAATATATTTTGGTCTAAAATAAATACGCGTAGGTATTAGTTAATGTATTTTGCTTTTATTTAAAACCATTGAAAATCCAACTTAGCCATTATTCTTCCCTGGGATCAAAGATATTTTGTTGAGCATCGTATTGAGGGCTAATTAGTTGAATTTCTTCGGATTAGACCAACTGTATTATGTTTTATACGCATATTATTTAATAAATCTTCGCTCACTCTTTATACCTATTTGTTTTTATATTTTCACTATACATCATTGCAGGAGTATTTGTCAAGTGGAATTACTGCCATGGTTTTTCGGGTGCAAAATGACATCGTCATTAAACGTTAATATTAATGCGTCTTTTAGGTAAGATTTATCATAATATATAATTCAGTATAATACGCGACTCTTAAAAAATGAACAGACATTCTTTTTCTCTCAAACTTTTGTGGCCTACGGCGGCGACGGCGATATCGCGTTTTAGACGATAATTTCGCGGACGGTTCAAAATTCAAACCCGAAATTTCCCGTTTTCTCTGACGATTGATCGTTGGTAATTTTATAGATGTTTCGCACACGTTTACACGATGTCGTGGGGCGGTGCCGGAAACGGAGAGGTACTTGTGCGCTTCTTGATTACCTTTCGCGGACGGCGACACTGCGCGTCTATAAATCACGGGGTACGCTATAGAAGTTTCCGCGGCCGTTCGCGGACACTTAAAATAAACCACTTATAGAAAACGTACAGAAACCGGGACAATTATTTTTGAAACCATTTCCC